CATTGTAAAGCAATGTAAAATACTAAAACAGGAAAATGTCTGTGTTGATTGAATTGAATTAAATTCTGGCAGCACGATGGCGCAGTTGGTAGAGCTGCTGCCTCTCAGTGAGCAGTTTACCCTGGGTCAAATCCCGGTCTAGGGGCCTTTCTGGGTGGAGTTTGCATGTTCTCTGTGCATACGTGGGTTTTCCCCGGCTACTCCGGTTTCCTCCCACAGCTCTAAATTGTCCCTAGATGTGAGAGTGAGTGTTTGTTTGTCTCTGTGTCCCTGTGATGGACTGGAGACCTGTCCAGGCTGTCCCCTCCCTCTCGCACGATGATAGCTGGATATGGGCACCAGTGAATCCTGTGTCCCAAAAAGGAAGAAGTGGGTGAAGATAATGGATGCATGAATAAAGTTCTGTTCAGTCTGGAGCTAGTTTATTATGGAGGTAAGTAAAAAGGCTCTTAGAGTAATGGATGTTTGTGGAAATACATTCTCCTAATATGATCGTATTTTTGCATTTTCTCACAGCTGATAAAAAATCTGGAACAAGTTTAAAAGACTCTGCAACATGTTTAATTTGTTTCTTAAAGAACCGACTGAAAGCTCTACATATTTTACCATATTCTGGGAGTCGGCCATAAAGACCTCTCTCTTTTATGGATTTAGTTTTAGGACATTTTTCTGACGTCCAGCATTAGATGTTGTTTTGAGCTGATCAGTGAACTCAGTGAGATAACACCAGTGTTGTTTGTGTGAATATAAAGTTATAACTGTCCTTATTGTTCATGTGTTTCAGTGGTCCCTGCTGATGTTCATCAGACGGTGCTGATTAAAGAAGAAGCTCCTGAAGAATGGAGTTCTGGTGTGGACCAGAAGGACACAGAGACCCTCAACATAAAGGAGGAAGAGGAGGAACTGAGGATCAGTCTGGATGTAGAGCAGCTCAGTGTGAAGGAGGAGACTGATGACACCAGGTTCTCCTTCACTGCAGTTCCTTTGACGAGTGAGGATGATGAAGAGAAACCTCCGTCCTCTCAGCTTCATCAGCACCAAGTGGAAGATGGAGATCTTCCAACCAGCAGCTCAGCTGACCAGATGAAAGCAGCAACTGGTGGAGAAGATTGTGGAGGATCAGAAATATCAAGGCTTCTGGAAAAATCAGCTGCAGATTATGAAGAGAAACATTCGTATTTAAAGGAAAAGGAGCAACAAAACCAAATCCTGGATGCTGATTTCAGTGACAACGTTCATCACTACAAATTAGGTTTGTATATTTGGATCAACTGTGATGATGTTTTTATCATTTTGATCACAGTTTTAATGAAGCTGACAAACATTATTTAAGAAGAACTTGTATAACCAACATATCCTGATGCATGCTCAATAATCCAGGTAGAAAAATCTAAAAAAGTTGAGGCTGGTCCTCTGGACATTCAAAAAACAAAACGAAGCAAAAAAAAAAAAAAGAAACATTTCATCTTTCATCCGAAAGACTTTTTCATTCTGAGGATCTGTGTTCTGCTCAGTCTTATAAATAGCACCTTCTCGTAGTGGATCAACCAGTTTGCTCCTGACAGCCAAAACCATCTGCTCACATGATCAAGGAGGACCATCAGCCTAACAATGGATCGTTAGCACCCTGATGGCTGTTTGCTGTTCACAGGAGGTTGAGTGATACTAGCAGTAACAGCATTGTAAGAGGGGGATCGTGTGCTGGTTTTGGCTGTCAGCAGCAAACTGGTTGATCCACTACGAGAAGGCGCTATTTATAAGACTGAGCTGAACACAGCACCTCAGACTGAAGAAGTCTTTCGGATGAAAGACAAAACGTTTCTACTTTTTTTTTTGTTTGTTTGCTTCGTTTTGTTTTTTGAATGTCCAGAGGACCAGACTCAGCTTTTTTAGATTGTATAACCAACATTTGTGTTTGTAACTTAGCTTGCAACGGACAAAACAATGACATGGTTACAACGTGAAAACGGCAAATATTGGTGCTCTTTGAATATATGAACAGGTCATGTTTCTGCTTTTCTTTATAAAAACATTTACAGAAAATTTTAGGGGGTGGGATTCATTTTGTTTGAGTAACCTCTGGGTGTAAAACAACATTTTCAGTCAATAGATTTTTATTTGCTTTAATCCCTGGTAGCACTTTGTAATGACAGTTACCTGAATCTCTGTGGCCGTGGTCATCTACCAGTCTCACACAGGTCCTCCAACATGAACAACTCTGACTTTCATCTCAGCAAAGCAGCTACTCAGGAAATCTTGTACATCCTTTAGTGCACATGTGTTAAACTCTAGGCTTACAGGTCAAATCTGGCCGTTAACATCTGTCCCCTCAAAATGATAATTTAAAAGTAAATTACTTTTATTGCTTCTCATTTTGCCTTATAAATTGATAAATACTTTATTTTGTGCAGACTTCTTGTGACAGTTTGCTAAATTTGAAGCTAGATAAAAAGAGATTTTTTAGTAATCTTTAATATACAAGTCCTTCTCAAAAAATGGCATACAGCTCATGAAAACCCAAAATGCCTGTCCCAAAAAATTTGCATATTTCATCCCACCAATGAAAGACAAGTGTTTTTAATACAAAAAACGCCAACCTTCAAATAATCATATTCAGTTATGCACTCAATACTTGGTCGGGAATCCTTTTGCATGAATATCCTGATGCATGCTCAATAATCCAGGTAGAAAAATCCAAAAAAGTTCAATCTGGTCCTCTGGACATTCAAAAAAAAAACAAAAAATAAAACAAAGCAAAAAAATATAGAAACGTTTCGTCTGTCATCCAAGAGACTTCCTCAGTCTGAGGTGCTGTATTCAGCTCAGTCTCTTAAATAGCACCTTCTCAGAGTGGATCAACCAGTTTGCTGCTGACAACCAAAACCAGCTGATCACATGCTCAAGAAGGACCATCAGCCTAACAATGGATCATTAGCACACTGATGGCTGTTTACTGTTCACAGAGGGCTGAGTGATACTAGCAATCACAGCATTGTAAGAGGGGGACAGTTGAACCCGGAGGCCTCCACCCCTGTTTAATGATGGACGATTTCTTTTCACAAAGATGGCCTCCTTTACTCTTCTCTCAAACCATCGTTCCTCTCTGTCCAGGATGTGAACATCTTCATCCTTGAAAGAGTGACCGCTGGCCTGGAGATGAGTGTAGACCGCAGAATCCTGGCCTGATGATGTTGATCTTCTTTGCTGGGCCATTCTTTTGGCCAGTGGCTGTTTAGTTTCCCCGATGTAAGACTGATCACAGCCCTCCTGACAGGACTCCAGTCAGCCATCAGGTGAAAAGGAGGAACCCAGACCAGTGGTCATTCCGTATGTTGAGGGAGTATCAGAGAAACTGAGATGCTTATTTTCTAAACATAACGTCCCAGTGGCTTTTAAACCCCAAAATACATTACGGCAAAGACTGGTTCATCCCAAAGATCCAGTCCCCCGGCACAAACAGAGTAATATTGTGTATGCTGTTCAGTGTCAGGAGGGTGATCAGTCTTACATCGGGGAAACTAAACAGCCACTGGCCTAAAGGATGGCCCAGCACACAAGATCAACATCATCAGGCCAGGACTCTGCAGTCTACACTCATCTCCAGGCCAGCGGTCACTCTTTCAAGGATGAAGATGTTCACATCCTGGACAGAGAGGAACGATGGTTTGAGAGAGGAGTAAAGGAGGCCATCTTTGTGAAAAGAAATCGTCCATCATTAAACAGGGGTGGAGGCCTCCGGGTTCAACTGTCCCCCTCTTACAATGCTGTGATTGCTAGTATCACTCAGCCCTCTGTGAATAGTAAACAGCCATCAGTGTGCTAATGATCCATTGTTAGGCTGATGGTCCTTCTTGAGCATGTGAGCAGCTGGTTTTGGTTGTCAGCAGCAAAACTGGTTGATCCACTCTGAGAAGGTGCTATTTAAGAGAATGAGCTGAAAACAGCACCTCAGACTGAGGAAGTCTCTTGGATGAGAGACGAAACGTTTCTATATTTTTTTGCTTTGTTTTATTTTTTGTTTTTTTTGAATGTCCAGAGGACCAGATTGAACTTTTTTGGACTTTTGCATGAATGACTGCTTCAATGCGGCGTGGCATGGAGGCAATCAGCCTGCGGCACTGCTGAGGTGTTATGGAGGCCCAGGATGCTTCGATAGCGGCCTTAAGCTCATCCAGAGTGTTGGGTCTTGCGTCTCTCAACTTTCTCTTCACAATATCCCACAGGTTCTCTATGGGGTTCAGGTCAGGAGAGTTGGCAGGCCAATTGAGCACAGTAATACCATGGTCAGTAAACCATTTACCAGTGGTTTTGGCACTGTGAGCAGGTGCCAGGTCGTGCTGAAAAATGAAATCTTCATCTCCGTAAAGCTTTTCAGCAGATGGAAGCATGAAGTGCTCCAAAATCTCCTGATAGCTAGCTGCATTGACCCTGCCCTTGATAAAACACAGTGGACCAACACCAGCAGCTGACATGGCACCCCAGACCATCACTGACTGTGGGTGCTTCACACTGGACTTCTGGCATTTTGGCATTTCCTTCTCCCCAGTCTTCCTCCAGACTCTGGCACCTTGATTTCCGAATGACATGCAAAATTTGCTTTCATCCGAAAAAAGTACTTTGGACCACTGAGCAACAGTCCAGTGCTGCTTCTCTGTAGCCCAGGTCAGGCGCTTCTGCCGCTGTTTCTGGTTCAAAAGTGGCTTGACCTGGGGAATGCGGCACCTGTAGCCCATTTCCTGCACACGCCTGTGCACGGTGGCTCTGGATGTTTCTACTCCAGACTCAGTCCACTGCTTCCGCAGGTCCCCCAAGGTCTGGAATCGGCCCTTCTTCACAATCCTCCTCAGGGTCCGGTCACCTCTTCTCGTTGTGCAGCGTTTTCTGCCACACTTTTCCCTTCCCACAGACTTCCCACTGAGGTGCCTTGATACAGCACTCTGGGAACAGCCTATTCGTTCAGCAATTTCTTTCTGTGTCTTACCCTCTTGCTTGATGGTGTCAATGATGGCCTTCTGGACAGCAGTCAGGTCGGCAGTCTTACCCATGATTGCGGTTTTGAGTAATGAACAAGGCTGGGAGTTTTTAAAAGCCTCAGGAATCTTTTGCAGGTGTTTAGAGTTACGTCGTTGATTCAGATGGTTAGGTTAATAGCTTGTTTAGAGAACCTTTTCATGATATGCTAATTTTTTGGGACAGGCATTTTGGGTTTTCATGAGCTGTATGCCATAATCATCAATATTAAAACAATTAAAGACCTGAAATATTTCAGTTGGTGTGCAATGAATCTGAAATATATGAAAGTTTAATTTTTATCATTACATTATGGAAAATAATTACCTTTATCACAATATGCTAATTTTTTGAGAAGGACCTGTAGATGTGGAATGAGCAACAGAGAACGTCAAATGAGATCAATCCTAGTTGAAGACCCTGCATCCAAGAAAAGATGTCTGGTATCTGACTTGAGTGAATGTATCAGTTGAAATTGGCCTGTGGCTTAGACCAAGATTTTAATTTTTTTCCCTATTTTGTAACGGAGTTTGACACCCCTGCTCTGATGTTTCCAGTGACAGTTTTCATATCATGAACAATGTTGAAAAATGTTGGATTTTATACCTGGATTATTGAGCATGGACTTTGTTGTTCATATCATGAACAGTTTCCCAGCACAGCTGGTAAGTGTTGACACGGACCAGATCCTGTAAAAACATGTTAACACCAGTTATGATGATGACATTTCTAGTGTCACTTCAGTACTGATAGATCTAAAGTCAAATGTGTTTTTTTTATAGCACATTTAATAAAAATGGCTATTGGGCAAAGTGCTGCACACAAAGCAACAAATTACTACACCAGATTTTTTACATGAGATTTTAGGAAGAGCTACATACAAGATATGGCTGAGGACGGAGGCTTGTAAAGCTGGGCTCCTTTTGCTGTGCTTGCTGTTCCAGTGCATCCTGGGATTTGTAGTTTTATTTGGTTGCATACCGTTCACCTGCTGGTGGTTATTTAAAATGAAATATAGCTGGTCTTTACCTTGACATGTTTGCTCTTATTTGTTTTACCATCTCCTGATAGCTAGTCAAGATGTCCGTCTCACTGAATTTGTTTCAGTGTTTTCTTTTTACGTCCATCATTAAATGTTGTTTTGAGTTGATTGTTGAAGTCAGCATGTGATGTTTGTGTGAATAAAAAGTTACAACTGTCCTTAATGTTTGTGTTTCAGTGTTCCCTGCAGATGTTCAGCAGATGATGCTGATTGTAGCAGAAGGTTCTGAAGAATGGAGGTCTGATGTGGACCAGAAGGACACAGAGCTCTTCCATATGAAACTTCATGAGCACCAAGTGGAAGATGAATATCTTCCAACCAGCAGCTCAGCTGACCAGATGAATGCAGCAACTGTTGGAGAGGACTGTGGAGGAGCAGGAACTACCAGGAACTCGGATCTAAATACTCGTGAAGGTGATTCCAGCTCTTCAGCGACTGACGTCAGTGAGGATGATGATGAATATGTAAATGATACTGAGTCTCAGATTAAAGACTCTTCAGACTCTGGATCAGAACCTGAAGACCATGACAAAGACTGGAAGGAGAGCAGGACTCCTGAGTGGGGTGTAAACACTGTCAACAAATCTTGCAGCTTCTCTGCGTGTGATATACAATTTCTCCACAAGAAGTCTGTTCAGAGAAACAAGACAGGTCATTCGAGAATAAATTCAAGTTGTTTAGTTAGTGAGAAATGTTTTAGAGGAAAGAAACCTGGAGACTCAAACAAGAATTGCCAGTCAAGACAGAAATCATCTAGTTGTGATGACTGTGGAAAAAAAATTAACAGAAAAGCTCATTTAAACATACACATGAAAATCCACACAGAACAGAAACCATTTGCTTGTGGTGTTTGTGGACAAAGGCTTGGACATAAATCTACTTTAAAGATGCACATGAGAATCCACACAGGACAGAAACCATTTGCTTGTGATGTTTGCGGACAAATGTTTAGACAGAAGCCACATTTAAACATGCACATGAGAATCCACACAGGACAGAAACCATTTACTTGTGATGTTTGTGGACACAAGTTTAGAGACAGGTCAACTTTAAATGGTCACATGTTAATCCACACAGGACATAAACAATTTGCTTGTGATGTTTGTGGACAAAGGTTTGGACGGAAGTCAACTTTAAATAGACACATAACAATCCACACAGGACAGAAACCATTTGCTTGTGATGTTTGTGGACAAAGGTTTGGACAGAAGTCACATTTAAACATGCACATGAGAATCCACACAGGACAGAAACCATTTACTTGTTATGTTTGTGGACACAATTTTAGAGACAAATCAACTTTAAAGTGTCACATGATAATCCACACAGGACAGAAACAATTTGCTTGTGATGTTTGTGGACGAAGTTTTGGACGGAAGTCAACTTTAAACAGACACATGACAATCCACACAGGATAGAAACCATTTGCTTGTGATGTTTGTGGACAAAGGTATGGACATAAATCTACTTTAAGGATACACATGAGAATCCACCCGTGACAAAAACCATTTGCTTGTCATGTTTGTGGACAAAAGTTCAGTCAAGTGTCAAATTTAAACAAACACAGGAAAGTCCACACAGGAAGAAAATAATGTTTAGCTGTTAATATTTCTTAAAGACACTTAGGTGTTGTCACCTATTTTAAGCTGACCAACTTCAGTTTTTTTATTAAATAGTCCGTTGTGGAAAATTGTTTTCCATAATTCAAGTTTTTACTTGTTCTACTTGTGAGTGCATGGGTTTTCTCTAGTAGGGTTGGGCATCGTTTGAATTTGAACGATTCCGGTTCCGATTCTCGAATTTGATTCTTTTTGAGGCGGGGTTAAAAAAAAAAAAGTCACGTTATAAATGAGCTATGGTAGTTAGCCAGAGTTCTTTCTGGATGAAATAATTTGAACTTCTCTTTGAATTTTAATGCTATGAACTTACTTCTCATTAACCTTACTATGAATTTCTCACAGGGCTATTTTCAACCAGTATATAAATATTAAACCTATGAACTTCAATATAAATATGGCTGAGTACCAAACTTCGGTTCTGTTATGGTACAGACCGAACTCCTTCGGTCGGTATATGGATCAGAATATGCTTCATCTTTCATTGTAAGGTTTCGGTGATTGGCTGTAACGCGTAAAGTTACAGCAATGCCAGTGCAGTAACTTGCAGTCTGTGGGAGGAAAAACACAAACATGGTTATGCCAACAGACGGGGTTCACGTGGCTTGCCAGCGTTACAATATCTGTGTTATGAACTAGTTGCACGCGTCGGCAACATGACTAATTTGATGAAGCGCCTGACAGTGCATGGAATCAATTTAAGAGTGTAAAGTTACTCCGTAACTGCAAGAAAAGAGGACCGCAACCATCCTCCTCTCGGCATGTAAGTCAGCCTGTGGGTCTTATGCCCCTTTTGCACTGCCCCTAATAAGCCCCATTTCTGGGCAGCCTGCCACAGAAAGAACCCTTTTGCACCAGCCCTTTAGCTAGTATATTTAGCTGATTTGAGGCTGATTCGGGACCTCTTTTCGTCCCTGCTTCTCTATAATGGGACCGAGCGAGCTCAGCTGAGCTTAGTCCGTAACGAAAAGTGAATGCGGGATTCTGATTGGTCAGAGGGAGGAGTCACTTAATCTCAGAAACTTTTCACTGCGCTGCCATTTGCAATTTTTCTGGATGTGGAGCAGCAGCTGGATCTATTTTTAAGATTTTAAAAACAATAATGACAACGCCGTGTTTAATTCTGATGTCCAGGTGTTTTTTGTGTTTGTTGACCGACTATAAAATTCGAGCGAGCGGTGTCACCGCGGAGGATCATACGAGCTGCAGAGCCGTTGAAGCCCGCGAGGCCGAACCCCGAGCCCCAGCCTCGCCTGCTCACAAAGGCCGGATTTGAGCCCTGGCAGGCGGGAGGACCAGGATGGAGAGACGGGGGGTGGAAACTTTTTAAAAAACATTTTATGTATAAAATGTAAGGTTTTTTTATAATCAGTGAAGATTAAAAATAAATAAACGGTGCCGGCTTTATCGTGAAATTCCGTATTCCCTTTGACTTTATTAAATAATCTGTTAATTAAAGTTAATTCAACTGAAAAATTATAAAAACACAAAATTATTGGATCTCAGGAATATTTCCCTCAAACATGTTTAAAGAAGAGACACAGCCTTTGGTTCAACATTATTCTAACCCACAGATGTACAAATCACAAAACAAGCATTACACTTTAAATTAAAACTTTAAATCAAAGCTGAACTTTAATTCAAAGCTAAAAATAATCTGTATACAAGAAAAAATAATCTGTATACAAGAAACAAAACCACAATGAGTGCAAATACATCAAATGATGAAGAAAAATATAGAATTTTAAATATAGATATCCTGATGCATGCTCAATAATCCAGGTAGAAAAATCTAAAAATGTTAAGTCTGGTCCTCTGGACGTTCAAAAACAAACAAAAACAAAAAAGTAGAAACGTTTCTTCTTTCATTTGAAAGACTTCTTCAGTCTGAGGAGCTGTATTCTACGGTAGTATTCAGTCTTATAAATATCTTTGAGCTGAATACAGCACCTCAGACTGAAGAAGTCTTTTGGATGAAAGTCGAAACGTTTCTACATTTTTTTTTTGTTTTGTTTTTTGAACGTGCAGAGGACCAGACTTAACTTTTTTAGATTTTAATATAAATGTTTTTGTAGAATCTGGTTCATCAGATTTAATTCAGTTCAGTTTATTTATACAGCGCCAAATCACAACAGGAGTCGTGTCAGGGCATTGAACAGAAATATTCATATATAAAATAAGTTAACAGAAACATTCATATATAAAAAATAATAATTTAATATTATTTATCTGAGGAGCAGACTGCTTTGAGTAACTCATAGCAGAACTCTCATTAGCAGGACTTGGATTCTGGACACACCTCCAGAATCGGTCCTAAAGTGCAGGTGCAAATCCAGGCTGAGCTGAGCCAGGCTGAGTTAGGGGTGTGCAGGGCTGAGCAGAGTTGGGGCTTATTAGGGCAGTGCAAAAGGGGCATTAGAGTCTGAACGGCCTGATTCAAAATCTCCACGACCGGACTCCGTTTCGCACCGAGGACAGCGTTGTGTCTGGGATTTCAGTTGGTAAGTTTCCGTTTAACGTTACTGCAGCTTAATACGTGCATCGCTGTGAGTTAAACTAGGATCCATGTAACGCTATCCAGTGACTCCTCCCCCGACATCCAGGTGAGCTTCTCTCCTGTTCAGCTGTGAGTCCCACAGTAGCTGCATCCTCCGTAAGCTCAGAGGTGACAGGGCTTTCTCTGTTGCAGGTCCACGACTGTGGAATGAGTTGCCACTGAGTGTCCATGGTGTGCAGCTCATGAGGTAATTCCTTGGGTCTCCGCCTCACCTTGGGTCATCGCATCGTCCAGGGGCTTTGTCTCCGCCTGGGGTCATTGCTCTGCCTGTGGTCCTCGCTTCTCCTGGGGTCTCGATGATGACTGCAGTTACGCCTTCCCCATAGCTGAGGCAGCCACATCTTCCCAGCCGACGCAGAGTCCGAGCCGGCCTCAGCTGGTGCTCATGAAGGTCTATACTGTAGGAGTTGTGGATTTTGTCCCTGGTGTCTGGCTCCATCTTGTGTCGTGTTCATGTCTTGCATCCTCTGTCTTTGGTGTCTGTGATTACTCACAGGTGCCTTCACTTTGTCTAATTGGTGTTTGTATAGTAAGTCTGTGCCTCTGTGTTAGTCCTTGTCCTGGCATTGTCTTCTGTTCACTGGTGATGACCTGTATGTATCATGAGTACCCACTGATCATTCTGTTTGTTTTGTTGCCCAGTCAGCTCTTTTTTATTAATAAATTCTTTATTTTATATAATCATCCTGAGTCCTTGCCTGCACCACTGGGTGCACCAACCTTTTGTGACACTAGTAAAATTACCTGTGTAAAAAAATTACTCAGTTAAAAGTAAAATAAGTCTGCAAATATTTACTTTGAGTAAAATTTTCTTTTTTTTCAGTCCATCACTTTTTGTCACGGCACCTGTATCTTCTGAGAACGTAATCCTCTCAATTTGATCTGATAAAGTTACCTGAGCTGGACGAAGTTCATGCAACTCTGCCATCCTACATAACTGTTGACCTAACAAGTCGCTGCTAGTTGCTATGCTAGCTGTACCAGTGAGCAGGAAAACTAATGAATGATGTGAAGGATCAGCCAGTGGGCGTGCAGGTCCAACCCACTGACGTTGATTGACAGCTAAAGTAATTTTGCTGAAAAGTGCCATTATGAAATAAATAAGCCGTTATGAAAAACATTATGAAATAAGCCATGAAAAACAGTATTATGAACTAAATAAGCCTTAATAAAGAACATTATTAAATAAGCATTTTGTTCTTATTTCATAATGCATTATTTATTTAATTTTGAGTATTTTGGTGTTCCACACCACGTTCTGTAATTTCAGTGGGGAGATAAAATACTCTTTAGTCATGGGAGCAACAGTCTGCAGGAGTGGCCACCTGATCCACTATGAGAAGGTGCTATTTGTAAGACTGAGTTTGCAGTGTCTCAGACTGAAGAAGTCTTTTTAGATAAAAGAAGAAACAGTTCAACAAGGGCAGCATGGTGGCGCAACTGGTAGAGCTGCTGCCCCTCAGTGAGAAGGCCCCCGGACCGGGATTTGAAACCGGGGACCTGCTCACTGAGGTCCCGGGGTTCAAATCCCGGTCCGGGGGCCCCTCTGGGTGGAGTTTGCATGCTCTCTCCGTGCATGCGTAGGCTTTCTCCGGGTACCCCCAAAAACATGCATGTTAGCCTGATTGGTAACTCTAAAAAGATTGTCCCTAGGTGTGAGTGAGAGAGTGAATGGTTGTTTGACTCGTTTGTCTCTATGTGGCCCTGTGATGGACTTGCGACCCGTCCAGGGTGTACCCCGCCCCTCGCACAGTGATTGCTGGACATGGGCACCGGCGACCCCCGTGACACAAAATGGAAGAAGCGGGTAAAAGATAATGGATGGATGTTTCAACAAAGAAGAATCCGTCCAGAAGACCTGACATAACCATATTATACGGAGCGTCTGACGTTATAGATCACGTGACTCAGACTAAACGAATCGAGCTCCGACTCAGCGCTCCTACGTCATTGTTTACGCGACTTAGCTTTAGCTCCAAACGAACCGTCTCTACTTTTTATCGATTTACAAACTTTCTGTAACGTTTGGAGTAAATCCAACTTCATGTGTTCGGCTCAGTAACTGTTAAATGAAACTTTAGCTCAACGAAAGCTAACAGATGTGGAGACAACAGGCTAAATAAGGACGGGAAGCTGCAGCGGAAGAAATGTCGGAGTTTCTGAACAAAACGGGCCCAGATCATGAAGAGGAACTGTCTCGTTTAAAAGAAAAACTGCAACAAAATAAAATCCTGGATGCTGTGTTGAACCCCAGAGTTCTTCTGCAAAGATTAGGTTTGTATAGATATATTTATCCTATTTAGTGTGATGATGTTAGCTGCAGTTTTGGTAGCTAACATTCTTTGGGTCCAAAGATCCAGTCCCCCGGCACAAACAGAGTAATATTGTGTATGCTGTTCAGTGTCAGGAGGGTGATCAGTCTTACATCGGGGAAACTAAACATCCACTGGCCAAAAGGATGGACCAGCACAGAAGATCATCATCATCAGGCCAGGACTCTGCGGTCTACACTCATCTCCAGGCCAGCGGTCACTCTTTCAGGGATGAAGATGTTCACATCCTGGACAGAGAGGAACGATGGTTTGAGAGAGGAGTAAAGGAGGCCATCTTTGTGAAAAGAAACCGTCCATCATTAAACAGGGGTGGAGGCCTCGGGGTTCAACTGTCCCCCTCTTACAATGCTGTGATTGCTAGTATCACTCAGCCCTCTGTGAACAGTAAACAGCCATCAGTGTGCTAATGATCCATTGTTAGGCTGATGGTCCTTCTTGAGCATGTGATCAGCTGGTTTTGGTTGTCAGCAGCAAACTGGCTGATCCACTCTGAGAAGGTGCTATTTAAGAGACTGAGCTGAATACAGCACCTCAGACTGAGGAAGTCTCTTGGATGAGAGACGAAACGTTTCTATATTTTTTGGCTTTGTTTTGTTTTTTGTTTTTTTTTAATGTCCAGAGGACCAGATTTAACTTTTTTGGACATTCTCCTAATATATTTTTGCATTTTCTCACAGCTGATAAAAAATCTGGAACAAGTTTAGAAGACTCTGCAACTTGTTTAATTTGTTCCTTTAAGAACCGACTGAAAGCTCTACATGTTTTACCATCTTCTGGGAGTCAGCCATAAAGACCTCTCTCTTTTATGGATTTAGTTTCAGGACATTTCTCTGACGTCCAGCATTAGATGTTGTTTTGATCTGATCAGTGAACTCAGTGATAACACCAGTGATGTTTGTGTGAATATAAAGTTATAACTGTCCTTATTGTTCATGTGTTTCAGTGTTTCCTGCTGATGTTCAGCAGATGGTGCTGATTAAAGAAGAAGCTCCTGAAAAATGGAGTTCTGGTGTGGACCAGAAGGACCCAGAGACCCTCAACATAAAAGAGGAAGAGGAGGAACTGAGGATCAGTCTGGATGTAGAGCAGCTCAGTGTGAAGGAGGAGACTGATGACACCAGGTTCTCCTTCACTGCAGTTCATTTGACGAGTGAGGATGATGAAGAGAAACCTCTGTTCTCTGAGCTTCATCAGCACCAAGTGGAAGATGGAGATCTTCCAACCAGCAGCTCAGCTGACCAGATGAAAGCAGCAGCTGGTGGAGAAGATTGTCGAGGATCAGAAATATCAAGGCTTCTGGAAAAATCAGCTGCAGATTATGAAGAGAAACATTCTTATTTAAAGGAAAAGGAGCAACAAAACCAAATCCTGGATGCTGTTTTCAGTCACAACGTTCATCACTACAAATTAGGTTTGTATATTTGGATCAACTGTGAAGAAGTTTGTAACATTTTAGTCACAGTTTTAATGAAGCTGACAAACTTAGTCTTTAAGAAGAACTTTTATAACCAACATCTGTGTTTGTAGCTTAGCTTGCTGACGGATAAAACAATGACATGGTTACAATGTGAAAACAGCAAATGTTGGTGCCCTTTGAATAAATGAACAGGTCATGTATCTGCTTTTCTTTATAAAAACAACCATTAGAGAACATTTTAGGAGGTGGAATTTATTTTGTTTGAGTAACCTCTAGGTGTAAAACAACATTTTCAGTCTAGATTTTTATTTGCTTTAATTTATTTGCTAAATTTTAAGCTAGAAGAAAAAGAAAAGATTTTTCAGTAATCTTTAATTTAGATGTGGAATGAGCAACAGAGAACGTCAAATGAGATCAATCCTAGTTGATGAACCTGCATCCAAGAAAAGATGTCTGGTATCTGACCTGAGTGAATGTATCGACTGAAATTGGCCTGTGGCTTAGACCAAGTTTTTAATTTTGTAACGAAGTTTGACACTCCTGCTCTAATGTTTCCACTGATAGTTTTCATATCCTGAACAGTTTCCCAGCACAGCTGGTAAGTGTTGACACAGACCAAATCCTATAAAATCATGTTCACACCAGTTATGATGTTGATATTTCTAGTGTCACTTCAGTACTGATCCATCTAAAGTCAAATTTATGTTTTTTTATAGCACATTTAATAAAAATGGCTGTTGGGTAAAGTGCTGCACACAAAGCAACAAATTACTACACCACTAGATTTTTACATGAGATTTTAGAAACAACTCTAGGCTGTCTAGATCTGTAGGAGAAGCACTGCGGTTAGTATTTATTATCAAGTAATGACATTCATGCCCATGGTTAGTGTATTTAAACATCTGATCAGAGCTGTGAGTGTGCTGCCAAATGCAGAAAATGATTGAGCAGCATGTGGAGCAGAAACAAAGTGTTGCTGATGAAACATTAAATCTAGACAGAGTCCAGAGTTATAGTTTGTATCACTTTTGAAAAATGATTGAGCCTTTTCTTGTACCTTAAAGTTGGCAAATCATGTTGTGAACTTGATATTTGGTGTTTTTTGGTTCATTTTTTTATTTTTTTTTTACCAAAATGAGCAACAATCAAAAACTCTATCTGTCTCCTGTTTTCAGTTTGTTTTAGTTTGGTTCTCTTAAGTATTTATCATAAATTTCAGTACAAAACTTTTGAAGAATAACAAGACATGGATGAGGACGAAGGCTTGAAAGGCTGGACTCCTGTTGCTGCGCTTGCTGTTCCAGTGCATCCTGGGATTTGTAGTTTGTGTTTTGCATACCGTTCACCTGCTGGTGGTTATTTAAAATGAAATATAGCTGGTCTTTACCTTGAAATGTCTGCTCTTAATTGTTTTACCATCTTCTGAAAGCTAGTCAAGATGCCAGTCTCACTGAATTTGTTTCAGTGTTTTCTTTTTATGTCCATCATTAGATGTTTTGAGTTGATTGTTGAAGACGCCATGTGATGTTTGTGTGAATATAAAGTTACATCTGTCCTTAATGTTTGTGTTTCATTGTTCCCTGCAGATGTTCAGCAGATGATGCTGATTGTAGCAGAAGGTTCTGAAGAATGGAGGTCTGATGTGGACCAGAAGAACCCAGAGCTCCTCCATATGAAGCTTCATCAACAAGATGAAGATCTTCCAACCAGCAGCTCATCTGACCAGATGAATGCAGCAACTGTTGGAGAAGACTGTGGAGGAGCAGGAACTACCAGGAACCCAGATCTAGATGCTCATGAAGATGATTCCAGCTCTTCAGTGACTGACGTCAGTGAGGATGATGATGAAGATGTAAATGATACTGAGTCTCAGATTAAACACTCATCAGACTCTGGATCAGAACCTGAAGACCATGACAAAGTCTGGAAGGAGAGCAGAGATCATGAGTCAGGTGTAAACACGGTCAACAAATCTTGCAGCTTCTCTGCGTGTGATATACAATTTCTCCACAAGAGGTCTGTTCAGAGAAACAAGACAGGTCATTCGAGAATAAATTCAAGTTGTTTAGTTAGTGAGAAATGTTTTGGAGGAAAGAAACCTGGAGACTCAAACAAAAATTTCCAGTCAAGACAGAAATCATCTAGTTGTGATGACTGTGGAAAAAAAATTAACAGAAAAGCTCTTTTAAACATACACATGAAAATCCCCACAGAACAGAAACCATTTGCTTGTGATGTTTGTGGACAAAGGCTTGGACATAAATCTACTTTAAAGGTACACATGAGAATCCACACAGGACAGAAACCATTTGCTTGTGAAGTTTGCGGACAAAAGTTTAGGCAGCAGTCACATTTAAACATGCACATGAGAATCCACACAGGACAGAAACCAGTTACTTGTGGTGTTTGTGGACACAAGTTTAGAGACAAGTCAACTTTAAATGGTCACATGATAATCCATACAGGACAGAAACAATTTGCTTGTGATGTTTGTGGACAAAGGTTTGGACGGAAGTCAACTTTAAACAGACACATGACAATCCACACAGGACAGAAACCATTTGCTTGTGATGTTTGTGGACAAAGGCTTGGACATAAATCTACTTTAAAGGTACACATGAGAATCCACACTGGACAAAAACCATTTGCTTGTGATGTTTGTGGACAAAGGTTTAGACTGAATTTAATTTTAAATGAACACATGAGAATCCACACAGGACAGAAATCATTTGATTGTGAGGTTTGTGGACAAAAGTTTGGACGGAAGTCAACTTTAAACAGACACATGATAATCCACACAGGACAGAAACCATTTGCTTGTGATGTTTGCGGACATAAGTTCAGACAACTGTCAAATTTAAACATGCACAGGAAAGTCCACACAGGAAGATAAAACAGTTTAGCTGTTAATATTGTGAAATGTCCTAAAGACACTTAGGTGTTCTCATCCATTTTAATCTGACCAACTTCAGTGTTTCTTATTAAAATAGTACGTATGGTGTGGAAAATTGTTTTCCATAATTGACGTTTTTACTTGAACCTGCATGTACTACTTGTGAGTGGGTTTTCTCTAGTAGGGTTGGGCATCGTTTGAATTTTAATGATTCTGGTTCTGATTCCCTTCGATTCCTGAATTTGATTCTTTTTAGAGGCGTTTAAAAAAATAAAATAAAATTTAAGTCACGTTATAAATGAGTTATGGTAGTTAGCCAGAGTTCTTTCCGGATGAAATAATTTGAACTTCTCTTTGAATGTTAATTCTATGAACTTTTTACTTTTTATTAACCTTACTATGAATTTCTTACAGGGCTATTTTCAACCAGTATATAAATATCAAACCTATGAACTTTAATATAAATAGGGCTGAGCACCGAACTTTGGTTCTTTTGTGGTACTGACTGAACCGCAGTCAGGACCGCAGCCATCCTCCTCTCAGCGTTTAAAGTCAGCCTGTGGATGTTAGAGCCTGAACGGCCTGATTCAAAATCTCCACGACTGGACTCCGCTTCGCACCGAGGACGGCGCTGTGTCTGGGATTTCAGTTGGTAAGTTTATGTTTGTTAACGTTACTGCAACTTAATACGTGCATCGCTGTGAGTTAAACTAGGATCCATGTAACGCTATCCAGTGACTCCTCCCCCGACCAATCAGTGTCCTGCATTCACATTTCGGTCCGGATTCAGCTCCACTCAGCTCCAACGGTCCCACCAGAGAAGCAGGGACAAAAAAAGGTCCCGAATCAGCTAAAACGTACTGGTGCAAAAGGGATCTTTCCGTGGCGGGCTGAGTAGGAGCAGTGCAAAAGGGGATAAGTTAAGCTGTAAAGGATATTGTTGACCAGTTAAGTCTTTATCTCAGCCTAGATAATGGTTTTTGAGAAATAACACAACCAAGTTATTGTTGATGTTTTGTGTTCTAATGTCAGGTACAGAAGTCTGCCATCAACCCTAACCTCAGTGAATCCAGTGACCTGGTGGTGGAATGTGAGGGACACTACGCCAATGCTAGCAAACTTGGCAACCAGGTATCTGTGCATCAAGCATCATCCACACCCTCAGAGCAAACATTTTCTACAGCTGGAGACACCATCAGCCAGGAGTGGGCTTGTTTGTGTCCAGAGAAAACAGACATGTTGATTTTTCTGAAGGAAAAATGATAAGTGAAAAGGTCCTCTGTATGTAGCAGCGAGCATTAAACACAGACGTGCCACTGGTTTGCAGCTGTTTGCATCGGACATTATTCGTTTATTTTTATGTAAGAAAACTGTTTGGAATGGAAAAATACAAAAGTTAAAAAATAAAACTCCAAGGTTTGTACTGTAATGTGTAACATAATTTTCTTCTTGTTAGAATTGATGCTAATTATAAAATTGGTATCGAAAAATGCACCGTTCAGGAATCAGTATTGAAGTGAAGTTACTGTTGTCGAAAAATTTGAACGATACCCAGTCCTAAATACAAACCGGATTCCAAAAAAGTTGGGACACTAAACAAATTGTGAATAAAAACTGAATGCAATGATGTGGAGGTGCCAACATCTAATATTTGATTCAGAATAGAACACAAATCACAGAGCAAAAGTTTAAACTGAGAGAATGTATCATTTTAAGGGAAAAATCTGTTGTTTCTAAATTTCATGGCGTCAACAAATCCCAAAATAGTTGGGACAAGTTCATTTTTACCACCGTGTGGCATCCCCCCTTCTTCTTACAACACTCAACAGATGTCTGGGGACAGAGGAGACCAGTTTCTCATGTTTAGAAATAGGAATGCTCTCCCATTCATGTCTAATACAGGCCTCTAACTGTTCAATCGTCTTGGGCCTTCTTTGTCGCACCTTCCTCTTTATAATGTGCCAAATGTTCTCTATAGGTGAAAGATCTGGACTGCAGGCTGGCCATTTCAGTACCCGGATCCTTCTCCTACGTAGCCATGATGTTGTGATTGCTGCAGAATGTGGTCTGGCATTATCGTGTTGAAAAATGCAGGGTCTTCCCTGAAAGAGATGACGTCTGGATGGGAGCATATGTTGTTCTAGAACCTGAACATAGTTCTCTGCATTAATGGTGCCTTTCCAGACATGCAAGCTGCCCATGCCACAAGCGCTCATGCAACCCCATACCATCAGTGATGCAGGCTTCTGAACGGACCATTGATAACGACTTTGGCTATCCTTGTCCTCTCTGGTCCGGATGACATGGCGTTCCAGTGTTCCATAAAGAACTTCAAATCGTGACTCATCTGACCACAGAACAGTCTTCCATTTTGCCACACTCCATTTTAAATGACCCCTGGCCCAGTGCAAACGTCTGAGCTTGTGGAGCTTGCTTAGAAATGGATTCCTCTTTGCACTGTAGAGTTTCAGCTGGCAACGGCGGATGGCACGGTGGATTGTGTTCACTGACAATGCTTTCTGGAAGTATTCCTGAGCCCATTCTGTTATTTCCTTGACAGTGGCATTCCTGTTTGAGGTGCAGTGACGTTTAAGGGCCCGGAGATCACGAGCATCCAGTAGAGTTTTACGGCCTTGACCCTTACGCACAGCGATTGTTCCAGATTCTCTGAATCTTTTGATGATGTTATGCATGGTTGATGATAACTTAAAAGTCTTTGCTATTTTACGCTGGGTAACACCATTCTGGTATTGCTGCACTATCTTTCTGCACAACAATGGTGGAATTGGTGATCCTCTACCATCTTGGCTTCTGAGAGACACTGACACTCTGAGAAGTTCTTTTTTTACCCAATCATGTTGTCAATTGACCTAATTAGTGTTAATTGGTCTTCCAGCTGTTCGTTATATGCTCAATTTCCTGTTTCCAGCCACTTATTGCTACTTGTCCCAACTTTTTTGGGATTTGTTGACACTGTGAAATTTTGAATCAACATATTTTTCCTGTAAAATGTTACATTTACTCAGATTAAACTTTTGATCTGTCATCTATATTATATTACGAATAAAATATTGACATTTGCCATCTCCACATCATTGCATTCAGTTTTTATTCACGATTTGTTTAGTGTCCCAACTTTTTTGGAATCCGGTTTGTATAAATGTTATGAATTTTCTTTTCACAGGGGTACACTTTCACAAGAGAGCTTTATGATTGAAAACCTCATGGAAACACTTTTTCACATGATGCTGCAGCCTTGTTACTGAGCTCCCACTGATGGGCTAACCTGGTGCAGAATAGCAAACAAAAAAGAACAACTTGTACAACCAGTTCAGATTAGCAGCAGGTACAGCATAAAATCAAACAGTTCTTGAGGAAAATGATCATATCTGCTACTCAGGCAGTATGTGCGAGCGTTCTGGACAGACAGTGTCTGCTGCAGTGAAGAACACACGTTTGCTCGGTGTAGAACGGGGGTCGGGTACCTATGGCTCACGAGCCAGATGTGGCTCTTATGATGGCTGCATCTGGCTCGCATACAAAAAATAACGTTAAAAATTTAAAATATTATCATGTATTTAAATCCGTTCATTTCCTATTGCTTGAATTGCGGGTGACTGGATCCAATCACAGCTGTCCTCTGGGACAACACCAAATTTTTATTGGATAATGTGTAACACACGTGTGACGTGGCTACGTAGCTAGCCTTGAATGTCAGCTAGTAGCTAGCTAGTTGCAGAAACCAGTATTGAAGAAGATGGCTAAAAGAAAAAAAGATGAGTATCGTACTTTTCAGCAGGAATGGACACAGGAATTTGCCTTTGTGGAGAGAGCAGGTTCTGTTCCACCTCATGCACTACATGAAACATGTGGTACAACAATGAAGATGCTTGAATCTTGAGAAAAGGCTGAATCAAGCCCTCTAGATACCTCCAGGTCATTTAAAAACTCTTCAGATGTGTTTCGTGGGGTGTCATCAGACAAGCGTCGTTTGTTCTTTGCTCCATGAACTAAACGCACATTATTGAATTTTTACAACAATTGTTAAAAGTACAACAGTTTGTCTCATTTGTGATGATTTTATTTTATTTATTTTTTGTCATTAATAACATTTATCATGTTGGCAAAATATTCTAACCACTGAACATTTTGCTTTAAAATTAAAGGAACCAAATCGCAATTTAAATCAAAATACTTTGTTTCACAAATGTATTTTCTTTATGCTGCTGTATAAAAACATCCTGAATATTTTGCAGAGTTTGAGTCAAAAATACGAGAAATAACATCTGCATTTAATCACATCTGCATTTAATCACAATCTAAATAACACAAATTTCACATTCAGAATCAAATCAACAACCTTTGTGACAAAAAAAACAACTAAATATATTGAAATACTGTTTACTGGTCTGCCATCTCATCAGCACTCTGTGCAGATATGACACCATCCATCCATCCATCCATCCATCCATCCATCATCTTTTACCCGCTTCTTGCTTTGCGGGTCGTGGGGGTCACTGGTGCGCATGTCCAGCCATCACTGTCGTCCTCATTAAGCTCACAGTACAAACAGCCACAGCCACATTAATACACTGAGTTGTAATTATGCAGAAAATTATAATAATCAAACAAAAACAGTTTTGTCATTGAAAAAGTAGCACGTGTCCCAAAACAATGGAAAAAACAAAACACTAATTAAAACTACTTACATTTATTAAATTAAAAACTACCAAACATCTGTGCTTTTCATTTAGTTAAAATACATGTTGGTGAAATATCGATTTAAGTACAATGAACTTTAAAAAACAAAGTGCTGTTAAATATTTTCAAATGTCGATTTTGATATTTTAATTACACTAAATATGATTTTTTTAACGTGCGAACATGGTACATTTATGTATTTATTAGAATTAGTTTTGGTTACACTTTGTGTCGTTAAGCGATTGCAGTAAAATGGTACTTAAAGTACCGATCAAGATATTTGACGTCTCAGAATTATTAAAAATACGCACCTCTACGTAGTTTAACAGGTGATCCTCGAGCTGTGAAGCAGAATGATTTAAATAAACAGTTACTTTTAACACAAAATGTTTTTTTTCACCCCTCTTCATATGGAAAATATACAAATTGTTGCATATTTGGTCAAAATTGAAGTGAAATGTGTGCAAAAACTAAAAAAACTTCATCTGATACAATGTTGAATAAAAACAAACAAACAAAAAAACAACACATTGAAATTTCCTGGTTAAGCGTTCCTTCCTGGGTCCTGATAGGATCCCTTGATGCTGCGAGGAACGTAAAACAGGAAGTAGACCGTGCTGCGGTCGGCCCTTTTCTATTTTAAGTGCTTCAACCAGGGACTGCAGATAAAAATGAGCCTGTACGGCTAAATCTGGCATATTTACATGATGAACTCATGTAGATTGATGCACGTTGTGCCTCAAAGTGGGGATCAGGGTCATAAAATAGCAAGCGAGAAGTTTTGAGATGATTTCTAGAAATATAATAAAAACTTTGAAAAGATTACAAATGGAAAATGAGGCCATAACTGTTATAAAATATAAGAAAGCAGACATAAATTGATAAAATCCCTATCAGCGGTTTGTTTGCTATTGTATTCTCATTAGAAACGTCTGCCCAGTTAAACCAGTGCTGATCACAAGTCTCTGCAGCTGCTGTTTGCAGGTCAGAACCTGAAAGGTTTGAGCATCACCACCATTACGAGGCAACAGTTACTTGTAATGCCAAGGTAGCATAGTGAGCTCTGAGTTCATAAATACTGCACACTTCTGCAGTAAACGTCACAACAGGGTCTTTAAACATCAGCGATTCTGGACTCGACCCACGAAGTCCTACCTGGACCTTCAATGGCACAAGTAAGAACTCTGCATGAACTGGAATCGTCCATCCAAAGCGTGTATTAAAACACAACTCGTTGAAAACTACTGCGTCTTCCGTTTCTGCACAGCGGAGCTTTTTCCAGAGAGGAAAGGAACGATCTTCTCCAACAGCAGGACGCAGCTCGCCGTCCCTGCAGACACAAGCCAACGAGACAGGAAGTTGTTTTACAGCAGCTCTATGTCTGGGACGAGACTTTTAACAGGCAGGAAATGACAAGGTCAAGCAAGCTGAGCTTACACATGAAGGAAGAAATCTACAGTTTGCAGACAGAACTTTCAATCCGAGCTGGCTGCGCTATTCTCACTTAACATTATCGTATTTTTCGCCGTATAAGTCGCATTAGTCCAAATACGTCTAATAAAGTAGAAACAACTGTAAATATGTCACTTCACTGCATCTATTATGCGTCACCACTGACAACACGGAAATGTGTGGCGGTGTTGTGCCAAAAATCGATTGGCTGCCAAACGGCGGCCGCGGGGGCGTGCACGGGAGGACTTTAACAAGCATTTAACAAGATTAACGCTTAAAAACAACTGTTTGCTCAACATTATAGCAGAGGTGTGTCTCAGTTGAACTTTTATTAATAAATGCACTACAATGGTAAATTAGCTGCATTTCGTCGGGGCGGTGCAGCAAAATGAAGCTGATTTGACAGTTGCTCCAGGCGAGCTGGATGAAGGTGGTAGTCTATGGCAAGACGATTGTGTCATTAATAGCCACACTTACCTATTACATGACACAACAGCATGCCATACTACTCGATTGCCATCTAGTGGCTGAAAATGATAGTGTTCAATATTTTCAGTCAGAATTAATGAAAACTGTCATATCTCAGCTAAAAATTGGTTTTTAAATATGAGAAAAATCCATAAATGCATCGCTTCTGCGTATAAGTTGCAGGGCATGTAAATTGTGCAAAAAAAATCACGACTTATAGGTCGAAAAATACGGTAATTTGTTTTAATAAATGAATTATTGTTACTAGATGAGATGATAAGCAGCACTCTTCATTTTAAAGCCTGTTTAGTTGAATGAGCAGGATGGAGTTAGAAAGAACAACCATCTGTCCGTACCTAAAACAGGTCCCAGCCAGTAAATAAAGCAGTACTCCAGGTATGAGTGGCCGCTGCAGGGGAACTGGACGGAGAAGGCCAGGGCCGGGTTAAAAACTGCTCCTGATACACTTCCACCTGCACAGGGAGAACAGAAATGAGCTGAGCAGTTGTATGGATGGAGCTTCACCTACTGCCAACGAGTAAGCTTTAATCCCACAATGTCGTGCATCAAGGTTCGGCTTAAAGGTCACGTCTTTTCTCATCGTAAGTTTATCTGAGTGTTCACTGAGGTTCCCTGCGACGCAGCAAGAAGCAGGTAATAAAGAAAAGAAAAAGGACAAAACTCCAATGTATATTGTAATTTGGGCTTTGATATCGACGTGGAGATGATCACATTTTCTTCAGATGAAAAGTAAATTATTGAAACCATATCACGCCCTTCATGATTTCTTTGTTTTAGTGAGTCGAGCCTTCACAGCTGATTTCCTGTTTGTAGCTGCTGCAATCAAATTATTTCTGCAAACTGATCATTTTCACCATATCTCAAAACATTCAGATGATCAAGACGCTACGATTTTTGGATTTTGAAATGTACATTTTCGGAATATTTACTTTTGTATCAAATAAAATTCCCACAAAATGGCTACAATTTAGCTAATATTAGCATTTGTTTAGCCAAATTTTGCTACTGATCTGCCACTTTAGCTCCCATTTCGCCACTTAGCTGCTGTTCTACTTACTACTGTTTATTTTTGTTTATTTTGGTCTATAGCTACAGGTTTGATCATTGTAGCTAGTGTTCTGCACTTTCAGCTTTTGGCTATTACTGTGCTTCATAGCTAAAAACAAAGTAGTTTAAAATAAATGTAGCAGAAGTGTAGGTAAAAATGCTAAATTACAACGTTTTTTTTTTGTTTAGCTTCTCTTTTGCTAATTTTAACTTAATTTACAGATTTCAACTTTAGCTTGTTTTGCTATTTTGTCAACAATTTAGCTAATCTTAGCTACCATTCAGCTACTTATTCATTATAAGTTTTATTCAGGTTGATGTTTTTTTGTTTGTTTAGTCATTAGCTATAGTTTAGCTAAAATTTGCATTTGTTTCACTTTAAGCTACAATTTTGATCATTTTAGTTACGGTTATGATAATTTAATCTTCAGTCTTGGTAATTTTAGCAACAGTTTTGATCATTTTAACAAAAGTTATTATCATTTTAACTAGTTATGATCTTTTTAGCTACAGTTTTGCTTATTATAACTAGTTTTGAGCATTTTAGCTACTGTTTTAATTATTTTAGCTACAAT